TGGCAGGTTAATTGCAGAGTAGGATTCGTACCGTTTCGTTGAAAGGTATTTAAAAGTGAAAGAGGAAGCTTTTTGCCATTGTTCGAATAGTGTTACCATTTCATCGTACTAATGAAAGATTAGGTAAATGAATTTTTTAGAAAAGTTGTTAATAAAAATTTCTATGGTTATTTTGCGACAATTTTATGTCATAAATTTGTGTCAGACTTTCAAGGTTTTCAGATCGGAATTGAAATGAAAGTTGTGATTTATTTAGGGAAATTTTCTGACAAAGATGATGAGGATTTTTCTCTTTATTGTCGAGAACAACAGTACACTTTGTGAATGTAACGTTTAAAGCGATAAGCGGTATTTAGGTAGAGATTTAAATCCTGCGGCCTGTTTCGGGTCGGTGCGTGGCACAGGGACAGGTGTCCAAAAGGTGAGAAAGGACCCAGGGAAAACCCAGAAGGCGGGCAACGAAATATTTGACCTTGGCAATAAACGTTGGCGAGGGAAACGCAAGTTTCCTTTTCCTTTTACCCTGCTCGGTGGGTCATTAACGTCCACGCGATGCTACCTTCCTTTCCCAGTCCTTTCTTTTTCAACTGTTTTCAGCCTCCTTCGAACGAAAGGTTCTACGTTTATTTATTGTCGTTTAAGAGCGTGAAACCATAAACCAATTGAAGGTACGCGGGTTAATCCTCTCCGTGCTTTAAATCCACCTTCCCTCTGTTCTTCGTGTTCTTTTCTCTGTCTGTTCTTTCGAATCGTTTGATTTCTTGCCCCGTAATCGGATTTCCAACTTTTCTCTCCCTCCGCTGAGAAGAAACGTTGCAGAAATCGAACGGTATCTCGAATGTCACCCAAAGACATCTAATAAAGAATTTATCGAGCGGAATTGGGTGATGGCTTTTTATCGTTCCTTTCTTCGCAAGAGTCGTTTAACTTCTTGGGTATCGATGTAATTGGAAGAAATTTTCCACGTGCGTTATATTTGAGAATTTCAATTCACGAGCGCTGTATTTTTTGATAGATTAAATCAAAATTGAGAAAGAAACGGTGACACGAAACGTCAGAATCACGTGCAGGTACATGACACAAGCTGTATCTTTTATTTTAAATCAGTACAATCTGTCAGTATTACAGAACGAATATACGACAGATGCATACACACGACGAATAAATTTCACTGGCCCCTTTTTTGTTTCTTCCATCATTTTTCTCCGCTTCTCCTCTCGCTGTTACACGTCTGACAAAGTGCGCACCTGGTCAGAAGTACCCCTGATTTTTCTCCACCCCTGACACGCGCATCTGGATACACTTTCATAAATTTCTAAAACCTCGAGCGGTTTACGCCGGTGTGAAATTGTGTTTCATTTCTCGCGGCTAATTCGTGGCTGATCCCCCTCGATATAAACGCTCCCAGGAATTAAGAAGTTGCATGGCTTCGGCCTGTTGCCGATTTTATTTTGCGGCTTCCATGGAAAGAGTTTTCTCCGAAGGAGCTTAACTCTTTTATCGTCTGAGAACTAACGCGTTTAATAGTCGCGATGAAAATTACTATCCATTTACACTGGCTGAACGGTTTGTTAACCCTTCGGTTGCGAAGGGCTGTTCAAAAATGAATTCGTTAACGCGTTTGTTCTCCAAACGATCGCAGAAAGAAGTATGTGCAATGATACGAAAGTCGCAGGACAATCGGTCGCGAAACAGGGCAATAGGAGAGGGAGAGGTATAAATGGGGTGCCTAAACAAATCTAAGGGGGTAAAGAAAAAACCGTGTGAAGACGAACCCGTGGAAAGTCCCGTACGTGGAAGCCGGTATCCTCGTCGCGAGTCTGTCGAGTGGCGGAACCCTAGCCTTTTCTCGACCCTCGTCGTTCCCCTTCGTAACAGAATGAACCCTGATGCGCGAGGGTCGAGGAGAAGCGCATCAAAGGGCGGTTTCTGGGCCCATGGGAATTTATCTTGTCTCGCTGAATTCGTTCCTTGCCTTCTTGAGAAAAATCCTCTCAACTATTCCCGTTCATAGTTTAGAATCTTGTAACTTTCACGAAAAATTATGAAAACTGTATGAAATTTCTGTGAATCGCCATGTTTCACGAGTTTTTTTTTTATAAGAAAGGCACATTTTCGACGCGTGGAACGTCGACGCGAATGTGGGTCGCTCGCGTCAAAGACGAGGTCGAGACGAGGCTTTGTCGTTCGGCTTGCTTCTTGAGATAACAGCTGACTTCCGGTGGGTAGAAAGCAGCAGTCAACTTGTCTGTGACACGGGTGAAACGTCGTCGATTGCTGCGATGTGTTTTTGCTCGACGAAGCGGAGAATATTGTCTTCGTCGAACGGTCAATTGGCTCGGATTAGGAGCGCAGCCCTTATTACGTGTTCTTCTGTTAGGCTTCCGTTTTGTTGCCGAACTTTTTGGAAATACTCAACCAATCAACTAATATAATACAATTTTATAATAATTAAGTTAATATCTAAAATTTATTGCAAGAAAATTTGACATTTGAGAAAGATTAGGGGTGCCATTTTTGGTACCATTGTCAATGAATATATTTTTTATCAAATTGGAAGAAATGGATAAGCTTTATTTCTAAATTAGTTATGTGTGATCGATGAAAACATTTTTATCATTGCTTCGGCCTCACGACAGTGCATTATGTCCATTTCTTCAATGTCGCCGTAAAACCACCGGCAAATCCACTTTTCTTCGTTCGAACGGGATACACGAGACACGCGCACGCGACTCGAATACAATGTATCCCGAAGAGTCTGCACGCGATGCCGAAGACACGATATATCTTCCCATGGATTTCCTCCTGTTCCTTGCGCGCTCGTAAACACCCCTCGCGAGATCTCTTCTCCTCTCGCTTTCGTTCCAGCCATTCGTTTTCGAGCTAGTTAATGGAATTTCGCGAATTCCACATTGGTCGCTTTCAAGTTGTAAAATCAATTCGTAAAACGTTTTAAAAGAATTAATTTGAAAATGTTAGAAAATATTTCAATCTTTGCTATAAAACTTAATTTAAAGAAAATAAGTCTATTTTTATCATTGCTAAGATTAAACAAATTTGTGATATCCAACAAGCAGATGTCATTAGAAAAATGTTCTTTATGTAGAGATTAATCTTCAGCAAATACCCGGTGGATCGGAAAGCGAATTTCTGGTCGGATCGACTCTCCCTTAAAATCGAAAGCAGCCCCCGAAGTCGGTTCGGTCACGGAACCGTCGTCTTCCCTATCGATCTTATACACGAGCCATCCCGAAGCACGATCATGCGCAGAAGTCACTGCGAACAAGGGTTGTGCTTCATTTTTGGGCCAGAGGGGGTGCTGGGTCCCGAGTCGCGCATCTTCCTCTCCATTTCGAAGAGCGATCACCAAAGGACCGATCACCGATCGGTAACCACGTTGGATATCCTCTCTCGAACGTGTTATTAATGTTCGGTCAGAAAATACCGATGGAAATTATTCGAGAGAGGCGGACAGGGTTACGCGAAGGAAGAGTGGCTCGTCGTTGCCCTCGTGGATGCCGTCGTCGTCGTCGACGTCGGCGGCGGCCATGTTTGCGCCGGCACAGTAGGCGTTCACGGGCGGTACCATCCCTCCACCCGTTCTCCAACGACTTTGGAGAACGGCCTACCCCCACCTCGGTCCGTCTGCTAAACTTCTGGTGGGGCACCGCAAACGATCATCCGTTGGTGCCGGTTCTACCCCCCACCATACGCCCGTCTCTCCTCCGACCTCTCCTCCTTGCCGACGACCCGGTTCCTTCCGTCTTTCTCGCTCTCGTTCCCCGTAGTCGTAGTCGACCCGTCTCTCGATCGCCGCCAGCGCTCTCCTCGACGATCCCCCCCACCAAACTTCAGTATCCATCCGCACGCACCAGGATCTGGAGAGGGTAACCCACCACCACCATCCTCGCTAATAGACCAAGTGGGGGGAAGTCTTGCGAGAACGCAAAACGAAGAGGATCGAATCCTCGTATCTTCTTGCATTCCTCTCTTTCTTATTTTTTTCTTTTCTTTTTCGATCTCTTCGCGTCTACTTCAAACGCTCCATTTAAGATTCTTTTTATGGGATCATGTGGAATAATCTATCTTATCAATTTTAATGTCTTTGATATAGAGGATGTTAATTAAAATTTTAGCAATTTCGAATTTTGGTGATTGATTAATTATAAAACTAAAACGTGTTTATTTTAATTTCATTTTTATTTTATATTTCCATTTATATTTCCATTTTTTAAATATAATAATATGTAGAATAATTATATTTGTCATATGATGCTTTTTTCAATCCTATTATATACAATTGTTATTTTTTTATTTTGTTTTCCATTTTGTTGGAGTTGCGATGCTATATTTCGTTAATCTACTTAATTCTACCCTCGCATGCTTTTTTTTCTCCCTCTTTCGGTTGATTTCTTGATGCCGCCTCGATGGCCGACTAACAACCACTGACGCACGCTCCCTTTTCGGTTACCCCCACTAACAGTTCTGATTGGCCCCTACGGTGTACCCGATCGTTAAGATTCGGTGAAGTCCGGCCGCTTCGGCAACTTCTTCCTACCCTCCGTTGTTCGGAAGTTGGGCGAAATTAGCCTAGGGAAAAGTTGGCCGATCTAGGGAATGTTGGGGGCCGCGCGAACGATTCGAGCCTCGTCGCCGCAGTTCATCGTTCCTCGTTAAAACTTCTTCGCCTCCCGCGAACTTCTTCCGTTTCCCGTTAATTATCGTCCCGCGATGGTATTTGCATTTTGACGATTCTGCCGAGAGAATGTAATTTTCCGAGGGTAAATCTTTCCTTTCTTTACCGACCTGTCGAACGTATCTCTCCCGATGATATCCGTTGAAAAGATGATAATTTATTACGTTTTTAAGGTGTAAAGAAAGGTTCAATGTAAATTTGCGCTTTCGAAAGGTTATAGAAATGAAAAATTGTATCTCTTTTACGATTAATCAGAAGAATACACAGCATCGTCTAACCCATTTTCTACCATTTTCTGTTACAGACAAAGAATCGGAAGAATTTTGGTAGAAACGTTCCGCACTGCCGCTAACAATGGAACGAAACTTAACGTCAATGAAATTATGCAGTCGGTGCAGCAGATCATTCAGGATCCTGGTAAGTTCCTAAATTAAATGTATCTTGTTAACGTAGAAATTAGAATTGTCTGCATCAATCCAAATCTAAAACGATTTTACAAAAATTAAAGAAAGGAACCTGTACCCTACTGTTTTATTAGAGTTTAGAATTTTTCTTCGCACGAAATTTAATTAATAACCAAAATATTCATGATTATTTTATAACCGAGGTAATTAAGTACTTCAGATGTTCAACTTTGATATGAACGTAAAAATGTCCAAAGAATGGAGATGTAAATCTAAATAATAAATTCTTAAATATATGTTTTTAGCTTGTTAATACTTAATCAATAAATGTCGACAGAAGTGATGTAGATACTTCAAGAAAAGTACGATTATAGTTTTCCTGAAAAGTAGAAAGTTTAAGATCTGTCATTTTGTCGGGTTTAGTCGCTCTAGTGTTAAATTATCCACTTAAAATGAAACACGGTCTTAGCACGTAACCTGTTGAGTGTCCTTTATTCGCACCCCATAATTGCAAACTGCACAAGCATACCGTTGCATTATTCCGCAAATTGCACTGCTTTATTGTTTGAGTGCAAGACACGAAGGATTGAAAATAATTCAGAGCCAAATCCTTGACATGTTGCAGTTTATAAATATAATTTGCTAATATTTTTTTTGTTTGCCAATTTTTATGCTGATTTTATCTTTGCATTTCGTTTTCGCTAATCAAAGCACGTAAGTTTTGTAACTAGCACTTTGCACGCTTTCTCTTCGTTTATCATAAATTTTGACAAAAACGAAAAATAAGGCGTCATCGTCCAAACTTAAAGAAATCAAGTTCCTTAATGTAACATAAAAATGGCTTTTTACATGCAATTGATGAAAATCTGTTCACACTATTCCGGCAACGAGGAAGACGACGATTTGTACATTGCCACGATGCTTGAGAAAGGTTGCACCCTATAGAACAACCTTTTAATTAAAACTAAGAATACTGAAATTACCTCTGCAGGTTGAAACTTTCAGAAGGTAGTTTCGAGGTTTTCATTTAATACTAGAGCAATTCAGAATTTCTTATTTTAAATTACAATAATTAATAAATTACAAACGGTAACTCCGGTTTCCTTGGAAAGTTCCTGTTTCGGGGGATTCGCCATTTGTTTTTCCGCTCATTCGACTCGTTTTCCACGAACGAAGACGCGTACATCGGGGTAGTTTAAAAATAGAAGATCGCGTTCTTGAGAGAAGACAGAACGCGTAGGTGAAGAGGAGGGTGGATAAATGATGATGAAACCAAGTTACGGGGTTACAGACGAGGCTGTGTGTTACTGTACGAGGTGACGACAAGATTGTCCCCGCTTTTCGGTGCAGCGCGTGCCTCACCGGAAGTCCCTGGTGGTTTCCGTGCGCCTAGTATTTACATGGGGACGCCGTAACACGGTTTACTTTTTCATCCGGCCCACTTCCAGCAGAATTTGAAGCGAAACACACTGCGTTCCGTTGAGGAATATTAGAACTTCACCGTTTCTTTAAGTTCTTGATGAAATTTTCAATAATTTTTTAACACGAAATTGCAAAAAATTTAATATAAATTAATGACAAAATCGAAACGAAGGCACGTAGAATATAAGAACCGTGGCACTGTTGGTTAACGCCATTCGTCTACGGTACCATAAAACTTTAATGCCAGGAATACCCCGACATTCGGCCGCAAAGGATCAATACCGATTATGTTAGAACGAAAATACGTACTGAAACAAATAAAAGACATCATAAACCTTTTGAGGTTTTTCCAAGGAGGATATAAAAGCAGGTCGGAAATAAGTTTTCTAATTGAACCGAAGTCAGCAAACTATGATCGCTATGATCACAAGTCGGTTTCTCAAACAACTCAATAGCAATAAATAATAATCATCATAGGTATCGTAGTAATAAATCAGTTGGCATCCTGCACACAAGAAGAATTTGCCATTTATAGTTAGAAAAACGAAATAATTCAATAGCCAAAGGCTATTGTCCCGACGAATAGTCGAAACCGCCCTCACAGAAATTTATTTATTTTATTGTTCTAACGTATTCTGCGAAAAGTGCTTTTGGAACCGTAGTTAAACAGAGGTCTTTTGAAAAATCGAGATCCTTTCGCAGAAGGAAAAATAGGATCGGCGATCGGCAGCGACGTTTTCGAGTAGGGATGGTTTCGCAGGATCGTGTGATGGTGTGCCGTGTTCAAAGGAACGTCCGTGACGTTTCGTCGATGAGTATCTCTGTGAAACGTCGCCGCAGAAAAAGAAAGAGAGGGATGAACCTTTGAAAAAGCAGCAGCGACTACGGGCCGGCGGTGATCCTTCCGCGAAAAACGTTTTCTTTTTACCTGGGCCGCTTCGAGGAAACGTGGAAAATGACGCGCCACTGCGTTTTCATCCCACTAATGGCTCCTTTCTTTTCTGCGGACCTTCGAAAATACTTTAAGACCGGCTACGACGGCCTCGTCGCGTGAAACAAACGTGCACCGCATGGTCCCCTTTATTATTTCCGATGCTCCGTTAATGCGCCTCTCTCGGGCGACAATGGGAATCGTAGGAATTGCAAATAAACTTGATCGATCGTTTCTGTCGCACGGTTGTCGTCATTTTTTTTTTTTTTTTTTTTTTTCAGTTCTAAAGACCCGAAACTAAACGCAGTCCTGGGTTTAGAATCGGTCGACTTAAAATGAAGGACAAAATTCGGGAATAATAATTATAATATTTAGACACACCTTACATTTCTATTTGATTTACAAATTTCTTAAATTCTCAAATGGATCTTTTAATTTAAAATACCAACAATTCTCCTGATTTTTATAATTGAAACCAAAAATACTCGGAGCATTCTCGTAGCACGTTGAGCAGGAAGAGGAAGATCTTGTAAACTCGTTTCGGGGGAAGTCGAGGGCGGGAATCGTGTCCTAAGCCGTCAGGCGTCTCTCAAGGGATGCAACTGTGTCAAACAGAGGTGCATCCTGATACGCGGGATCCGAAACGAGCGTGTCGCACACCGGTCGATGCTATTTTTAGGCAACGATTTCAGGCTGAAGGAACATCTTGGCTGTAACACGTGCCACGATCGGTGTTTTTCCGTGGCTCGATCGAAACTAGCTACGAAGGGTGGCTGACGATCGACCTCTCGAAGATCCCTGCCCTCGAGGGCACGCGACACACGCGCTTTCTCTCCAACGCGTTCACGTATTTTTGGACGAGCAAATGCATAGGGGAGCGTGAAACAGGCGCCCCTTTTCCTTCGAAGGACGCCAGTTGCCGAGTTTTCCTTACCATATGTGGAAGGATGCGAGGAAGCTCGTTTACGGAGACATTGACGTTTCCTCGACTCTCCTTTTCCCTCCTTTATTCTCTTTTATTTTTGGCCGGGGATGAGGAAATGCAGCTTGCGCCTTCGGAAGGAAACAACTTCGCGCCTGAAACTACTTCCTAATTTGTTCCCGTAAATGGCGACAATATAAATTATAGAGAATTAACCAAGTTGAATCTCGCTTTTATGATTGACGACGTTCAGAAGCAAACTGATTCCTTTTCACGTTTACAAGAATGAAAGACCGGTAACAACGACGCTTCCTCTGGTTACTCTGATAAGAATGCAACGAAGCCAATTGTTTCTGGAAAAGCGGAAAAGGGTGAACGGTTGTTGTTCCGTGAAGATGGTTTTCATACCGATCCGACTGGCATTTTCTATGCACCGTCCACTCATTATCAGAACGGGTGGGTGTCTCGTTATCGTACCAATAAAATCGATAAGGTAAATCAATCTTCTCTTCGTAACTGGATTTGTCTTCGTAAAACTAATATAAGGAGAACGTAGAATTATTGGTTAAGAAAGTGAAACGTTTTCCCGCTAAAAGTTCGCGCCACGTGGTCGAAGGCGGGTAGCACGGGAAAATGGAAGAAGTAGGATCCTCTGCGAATACCAATGGACAATGAAGCCGAATCCCAGGAAAAACGATCGACAGGATGTGAACGAGAGAGACGAAATACAGCAAGGTAAATAATCGGTGACGCTTAATCCTGAAGGAACCCAGCGGGATATTTTTGGCGGGATCTTGTCCTGGACAGAAGGCGCAAGGAGAGTAGGCGGAGGAAGAAGATAAGACCCAGCTCGTGATTAATGGACCAGGGGCTGTGCTAAAGGGAAACAGGGGAGAGACCAGCTTCTTGTTCGTATCGGACAGGAAAGGAAGACTAAACCAATAATACTGTTTTCCCAAAAAATTATTATTCAAGTTTATATTAATACAAAGTTAAAAAAATATTGAACAATTATTTTAGCTTAGAAAATAATTGTTTATTTACATTATTATGATATTTCATTTTTGAGAAAATTTTAAATTGATCTGCATGTAGGTACGTGAAAATTCATTTTTAATAGAAAAGATGAATATTTTTCTAAATGTTCTTTTACTAAATTCTGGTAAAATGGTTCTATTAGTTGAGTTTTGTAAGGGCGGTGGCAAAGAGAGAGGAAAAAAAGAGTGAGACAGGAAAATGGAGGGAAAAGCAAGCACGTGCTCGCATGGTGGGCCTGACGAAGGGCGAGCAAAGTAACCGGAAGGAGAACCCTGTTTTGCTCACGGCCACCTCCTACCCTTTTCGAGGTTGGGCCTTCTGGTAGGGGGGCAGCTACCCTCACTATCCCCACTCTAAAATAGAAAAGTCCAGAGAACCAGGAAGGTGCATTTCCCGCGACAAATAGTCGACCCTTCAGTTGCACCCACGCTCTCGTTCGGGAATGTGCTATTTTCTTCGATCTTCTTCAATTTTATCGCCCTTCGGAACTTGGTCTTTGCATTTTCCCGCCTTTTTGAAATAGTTACATCTACAGTCTTCTATCATACCTAATTGCAATTCGTAACAGAACGCAGAGAAATTCAAAATTACATTTTAACTCCAATTCGAGGGTTCAATTTTGGAATCTCTCTGATTCAGAATTAGAATTGTTGGAAAATTTGCAAAGATCAGAAGTTTCTGAAATTGTTTATCGTCGGTTAAGTGTCTTTTTAAATACGCGCTCCTGTTTTTATCGAGTGAAAATTCGAAAACATGGAAGAATCATCAAGAATCCAGAAGTCAGGAACAGATATCCTCGCAAAACTAGTAAAATGGAAATTAAAATTGTGGACACAGGGCGATTGTTATTATCGGTATGTGAATATTTTTCTATTTTAAAGAATAGAAATGATGGTTTTAAATTCTTAATTTAATTAAATTGTGTAAAGTTACATTAACCCTTCGTAGGTAATGTTCTTTTTCATCAACGCGGCCGGAAAACTGGGTCTAATTCTATATTGTTCTAGGCTTTAAAAAAATTGTGAGATTCTTATTAAAGCTTTTAATTTAACATACAAGTGACGTTCAAGTAAAATTAAGGCAAGTTCCGAAAAATGAAAATTTTTGCCTGGCACTCATCGACCCACTTACTAAAGGTTTTTTGATAGTGTTGTTTCAGAACCAAATAAAATAAAATTATAAGTTTCGAAAATGAATTTTTCATTCTCGAAATAGTAACATGACGTAAGAATTGAATTTTTCACGAAACATTATTGCACCACCAAAATTCTATTAACAAATTTGAACATTGTTTCGTGTAATATAAATAAGGTTCCGAGAAAATTAACGAACGTCGTATGGTTGTAATTCTCATCGTTATTGTGCACCTGTCTCTAGTTGAGCGTAGTCGGCCCCACGGCCGTTTCCCTAATGACCAAACGGGAAATTCTCGTTCTTTATGATCGTGTTCCGAAGCTCCGTTGTAAAGGTGCGAGTTTTCCTAATCAGCAGGGGCGCCGGTTGCGACGACTTCTTCATTCAGGTATTTTCACGAAAAGGGCTAGCCACCCTGGCGGTAGAATAAAAACGAACCAAGGTCGAGAAAACGTCGAAGAATGGTCCCCTGCCCATCCCTCCTGTTTTTCTCGCTTTCGACGCACGAATAGTTTCTCTCGGCTACCGACCGATCGTGAGTTGCAAAGAAACGATCGGATTCCTCCTAGAACACATCGTCATTTTTATCCTCGTTCCACGAACCGACTAGGAGGCTCGTTGCATGGAATTAATACATGATCAGAAAGCAAAAGGAACAAAATACGAGACGATGCGTGTTGCCATTGGCAATTCAATCTTTCCACTCGATTTATTTATTTCTTCACTCCTATAAAATAAAATTGCGTAGATTTTCTTTCGAACACTTCTTCAAGGATAATAAAAAAAATTATTTACTGAAATTTTACGGACTTTCTTCTGCTTTCAGACACGCAAGTTCGGTTGGACCTGATGGAACAGCTGCCGCACGTGGCGACGATCTGCCAGGAAGCTTCTCATCTATTCGGCGACGTTCTCCACGATCATCTGTTCAGCATCATTATCACGTATCTTCAGGATCAAGATAACCAGGTGAATATTTCGCGCTTCTCATCGATAAGCATCTTCGTTAAACGATCGGGAAAGAGAAGATTCTTGACGAGCATGTTCGAGGTACCGTAAACTCGGCAAGAATTACGGGCCCCATTGACGAATTCCTTGTTCCTCGTGTGGCCAGGTACGAATGACGACCCAGGCAGTGGTGCTCACGTTGATAAAGAGCGGCCTCCTCGACAGCACCACGATCGAGGTCAAAGTCTGTCCCGTGATAGAAGTACTCTGCAGGACTTCGGTCGATTTCCTTCAATCTGGCATCATGGTAAGTTTCAATATTCCATTTCTTTTAATACATCATTGAAGCGGCGTTTGGCACTCTAGAGTTAGGCGCTATTTCAAATAATTAAAATAATAAATAATTAAAAAGTTCAATTAGTTATTTGGAAATAACAGAATGAATTAAACTTTATTTGAAATTAAAGTGTCTTTCAATTTGAAATAATTTTCTTTTATTTGAGATTTTTATTCAAAGATCTATAAATAAATTTTCTTTCAAAAAAAAAATTATTTCTGATTTTGTAATATTTTCATTTTATTCAAAATATATATCAGAAGATTATTTGAAATAATGACCAATTTTGTCTAGAATAGAGAATAGGGAATTATTAAGCGCATATTTATCGAGCATTGTGCGCGTGCGTTTCTAAAGAAGCTACTGTAATTGCTGTTTAAAAATTAATAAAGGCTCCGAAATCTGTCGCAAAAAAAAAAAATTTTTCAAATTACCAGAAACATCGATTCCATAAAATATGCGCTCGTTAAAGTATTAACATTCTAGCAAGCGTCGCGTCGTTTAGCGTCGAGTGCCTCTAGAATGAAGCTCCACGTCGATCGGACGTCGTTCTAATTAGCGCATACGTATGTAAAGAATTGCGAGCGGACAAGCGGGGACGCGTGTTGTATCCTGTCCGCGTGGTAAATACGAAAGAGCGTTGAGAAGTAGGCGGATCGAAAGCGTTTTTACCTCGCGCGTGTTGCATTCACGATACGAGAAACTTTGCTACGCCGGTCAGGGATATATTATTTGTATCGAAGTTGCGTTAGAGACTGTGTTCCCTTCGAACGGATTCCGTCTGAAAGACATGGGTAGTGAGATGTTCTCACGCTATCGCGTCTCACTATCTTGTCTTTCATCCGGCGTCCGTTCTGCTCCGACGTCGAATCGAGGAAAGGGAGAGAGAGGACTACGCGACCAGGTCTCCGAAGAGCTTCTTATTTTTTGTATTTTTCTCTCTCTCTTTTTTTTTTCTCTTGTCGTCGATCGAGTTGCAGGAAGAAAAGTTCCGCCGAAGAAGATCCTCCCTGCAGGGACATGCTTTTACCATCAAAGTTGGTTTGTCATAGAGATCGACTATCACAGCCAGCTTTGATGAGCAAAATTGTGTCCATCCCCGGCGCTGATTCCGAATCGAACAAACGAAGAAACATGGAAATAATTACGAAAGAGAGAGGAAGAAGGGGAAAAAAATCGTATATCCGGCGAAATCGAGGGACGATGGAACACGAAATGAAAATACCTTTTGCGGTCCGATACATCAAATTGGTTGTGGAATGTTTCGAGTCATATCACAGCCATTTTGATGAGCTTGGCCCGCAGAATCGATCGTCAGAGGAGAGAGCGTGTGTTCGTCCGCTTCGTTTGGTTGCACTTAGCGGCCGCTTAATTAATAATCATCCGATGGACAGGGGAGAAACAAATAATAAGCGATGTCCTTTCTTACTTGAAGAAAAACCGAACGAGAAGAAGACGAGAGGAACGCGATCCAATCGTCAAATTGGTTGTGGCGTGTTGCTGTTCTACATTTCATATCACAGCCATTTTTGACGATTTGGATCGCTGTTTTTATGCGACACGATGACTTTAGACTAAATTCCTCAAGGTTTATTCCACGGAGAGACAGAAGTAGCGTGCGCCAGTGTGTCGCTCACAAAGTGGTTGTGATATGCTGATGCGAGCGTTCATATCACAGCCAGCTTTGATGAGCGTTGCGCCGCGCGAACCAGCCGGTTTCCGGAAGATCCAACACGCGCCTGATCTTACGTCGAAGAACACGCGTCTGTTAAGAACCCTGCTTTTCTCGAGGACGTGTATCCGTTGGTGGCGGGTTTCTTTCTTTCAGCATCGATAAACCTCTCGATCATCGTCGTTTTGACCCATCTTCGATGCGGCTCGATGGCGATCTCGACGAGCCTGCTCTTCGGCATCGTTTCGAAGAAAAACGTTTCCGATCGACTGTCCCGATACGGAGAGCGATAACGAGTTCTTGCGCTTAGTTTCCACTTTCGGGAAAGGTCCGTGGCGACTTTTGCGCTCTCATGGTCGCTCGACTTCCTCTCACGGATCCTGCGTGGATCTACGAAGGACGTCGTCGCGATCGTTCGTCGAATCGCGATCTTCCCTCCTGCATCGCTCTTTCAAGCGGTTCTTACATTCATCTCGGGTGCTGGGAAAGAGGAAGGAAGAAGGAAAAAGCGTTTTCTCTATTTTAGAACTGTCACCTTGGGCGATATTGGAGAATGTACAGATAAATTAATATCATTTTTAATAAACAGTAATAACGACTAATTTGAATAAAAGATAAGTGTTTCTTAGAATAAAACGTCTGTACGCAATGACCGGATGACTCATTTCTGTTCAATTCGATGATCTTCTTTCTGATGCGGGCATTAATATAAAAGCAATTGAAGCTTGATCCAGCATCCCAAGCTTTTGATACTGTACGCGTTGTTCCTTTTTCCAGGTGGGTTTTAGCGACATGCGTTCGACTGTTCCTCCCATCAGAGTGGTTGTGATGTGGTGACTTTCGACTCGTATCACAGCCAGCTTTGATGAGCGGAACGGTGCGATTTGTATCTTCGTATAGTAAGATTCTTTCGGACAACTTTGTATTTAAAAACAGAAAATAAACGTGTATTTATTATTGTTAACAATAATAGCGCGTGTGTGTCTCTTTAACCCTTTAGCTACGAAAAGTGTACTCCATCAGTAACCCATCCTCTTCTCAAGTTCAACAGTGAATTATTTTAATTTTTTATTTTACCATTCTATCTAAACATTTAATAGTTGAAATATTTGACCGTAGCTAAAGGGTTGAACATTCTGTGTTTACACATTCTCTTGTTACGTATGCTTAATCATTGATCATTATCCCTTGGTACATTTGGCTGTTCATTATCGTATGTTATATCGATCCGCAGTTCATGAGCAAGATGGCACCGCTCATTGGCAAAAAGCTGACAGAAAAGATTTTTCTGGACAGATACATAGCCCTGTGCAAGGAACAGGATATCCACGTGAGAAAAGTATGCGCGTCGCACTTCGGGGAGATTTGCGTCGCGGTCAGAAGAAAGGCATTTCTTCAAAAATTGGTAAGTCTACATTGTTCCTCCCTTTTTTTACTTTCACGATAAACAATTGATGAATTATTTCCTGATCGATTACAGTTTCCGGTATTCGTCGATCTGTGCTGCGATAAAGCATGGGGCGTACGGAAAGCCTGCGTGGACGTTATGATGCCAGTCGCCTGCTGCATGACCCTTCAACAACGTCAATTACTGTTGGCCGAACTCCTGGCCATGCATCTCGACGACGAATCGAAATGGGTGCGAATGTCTGCCTTTCAAATTTTAGGACCATTTATATCCACGTTCGCGAAACAGTTTACCGAAGTAACTTATAATGAACACGGCGAGCTAGTGTTTACCAGCCAACAAGATACTCGTTTCAGGTACAAGAAGCTGAATCTTCTTTACTATCATTCCCTTAAACTTGGCCGAATTGAACTCCGTTTATTATACTTTCTTATGATTTATTTCTCTTCTGTTCCGTTCCCACTTTCTCTCCCTAGTTTACCCAAACGATGATGGGGATAATTAAAAAAACTGGATGATTTTATTTGTCGCACAGTATAAGGTACTCGTACGAAGGTAACTATCCTCCGAAATACGTGGTGCGAAGTCACTCGTTCGATCAGGAGGAGCTTGATACTAAGGATAATTTCAATTCGCCTGTGATAATACAAAAACCGATTTCCGACGACGAGGAGGAAGAAGATTCTCAGGAGGATCACATTTTCGCTCTGAGAGCTTATAAATCTAAGGTGAGAATACGACGAACTCTATGATATTTTATAGACGGCAGGAGAAGAAAGATGAAAATTTGTTGTAACCGGTTGCTGATTCTCTTTTCAGATGCAAAGGAAGATGAATCAAAACCAATCGACGGACGATACGGAGAAGTACAATACATTTTTATATTACTATATAGCGCCAGACCTGCCTTTAGACGAGGAACTCGTCGAAGCCGCAAAGAGATCGTCAGCGAAGAACAACGTTGATTGGAAGCCGATGGCCGACACGGCCAGTAGCAAAGCCTCTTCGTTAGACGACGTAGTGGAAGAGGAGAAATTTCCAGAGGTCGAATTGATAACCGTAAACGAGGAAGAGCTAGTCCCGTTGCATTTAGTCAACGTGTTCCTAACGATGGCCGAGCCAGAGCGATACTCAGACATAGGAGCAGACATTCTTCATCATTGCGCTTTCAGTTTTCCCGCGGTCGCTCTAACGTTAGGTAGAGAACACTGGTGTTACTTACAACCGACGTATAAATTACTGTTGAACGCTGATCAATGGAAAGTCAGACGTACACTGGCCTCGAGCATCCACGAGATCGCGACCATACTGGGCGAAGAACTGACCGCGAGCGACCTCATCCCTGTCTACGATTGGTTCATCAAGGACGTAGACGAAGTCAGAATAGGCGTACTGAAACACCTAGCGACCTTTTTGAAGATACTTAAGCCCAGCGATCGCTGCCTGTATCTACCAAGACTGAAGGAATTCCTGGTCACCGATAACGAATGGAACTGGAGGTTCCGAGAGGAGCTGGCTACTCAACTGTTAGAAATTGTCAATCTTTTCGGTGCTACGGACGTGGAAAGATACATCGTGCCCCTGTCTCTTGAGCTGCTGAGCGACAAAGTCGCTGCTGTGAGGCACGTTGCACTTTCTTTGGTATGACCTCGCACGTTCGCCATATTCTGTGCATACTTTGAACGTAACAGGGTGTCCCCACTGACGTTGCTATTCTAACGAGAGTCTGATATGCAGCCTATTTTCTTGCATAAAAATGGAAATACTATTTTGAGAGTTTCGTTGAAATAAAAGTTCTGAATAGCAACGTTAGAGGAAGCACCGTGTAACGTTATCGCGTATGCGTCCAATGATTCTACTTCGATATCTATGCAGGTGACACAAATCGTGGCTCATTTATCCGACAACGAACGCTTGATTACTGCCCTGTTTCAAGAGCTCAAGTTCTCGCTAGGGGTGTGGACGAAGAAATGGATCCGACGACAAACGTTAGTATTTGTATGCGCTCAGTTGATAGCCAACAACGCTATCAGCGGGCATAGATTCTCTCAGGAAATGTTGCCTAGTTTATTGAAGCTGTCCAGGGACAAAGTACCAAACGTAAGATTGGCTGTGGCGAGGACTTTGTCGAAGAACGTTATCCCGATGGGACGTAAGTATCTCAGTCTCTGACTAATCTTCTTGAAAATACCATTATCCTGAAACTTATGCAAACCATTATACGTATACTTGAATTTTTAGCAAACTGGTTAGGAGCGGAACAAGCGGAAGAAGTGGAGAAAAGATTAAGAGAGATGCGTTCAGATCCTGATCGCGATGTTCGAGTGTTGGCCGGGGGCGAGGAGAATCCTGTGTTAGATATATTATCGCAAACCAAGGCCGAACAATCGAGGAACATACTGTTTTAACAAATTCTATCCCCGCAAGAATCAAATTCGAATAATTTCCTGCCATACGAGACGATTGTTTTAGATTGGACAGCCACGGGAGAGGATAAAAGGTGCCGTAAAAGTGTTCTTCCATGTGTGAATTGTCTGTACAAGCGACAGAAAATTAATTGGAAGAGAAACGCGGGGACGACGTTGTTGTACCGGGGAGGGAGGATGAACGAGAGGAATGATAGGTTTTCTTTTTTCACCAGACACCATGTGTATTTATCTACGATGTAAAGAAAGAATAATAATACCAGCTCAAATTTTAAATAAACGAAACATTTACCATTTTAAGTGCAGTCGAGATAGACAAAGTGCAACTGAACGTTGTCGATAACCAGGGGACCGAGGATTTTCCGCGTCCTTTAGACTAAGACGGATAAGTATCAATGGTCAAAAGACATTACGCAATTATATAAGAGTGTGTGTGAGAGAGAGCGTGTTTAAAAGAAGTTAACGTATGCGTGGTTAAGGTTCGCGGGTATGTATGCGTTTACCATTGTGATCAATTTCTATTTGTAAGTGGGTCCCTTGGACAAACAAGCCGGATATTACTAATTGGAGATATCGCATCTACGAGATCTCTTGTTCTTCGGTAAACGGTCATAGCACGTTCTCTTCGGGAACCGCGTTAATTGTTATCCTTTCATCGATCAATCGGAATTCTACTGTTCGTCGAAGGAGAAATAATTCGATGATCCTGTGCATGCAATCAGACACGTACTTCACTTTTGTAACTTTTGTAACGCGTCGATCGGCTCGAGTTTTCGTGCTATGACTGGTGATGAACTTTTGTGTGCGTCATCGACGAATGTCTCTACGTCGAATGGGGGGGAAAAAAAAGAATGAGAAAACACGACATGGAATTTTACGATTAGAAACAGAAAAAAAAGGCTTATACGTTGCACGATATTGAGATCGTTCATAATCGTGCGATATCACTGTGATTTTTGTCTACGCGCAATCACACGGACGAATGTGTATTGTTTCATGTAGATATATTATTGTAAACGTTAAGAATTGTAAGCACGAATTATCGCTGAGCCACCGATGTTTAAATTATACGAATCAGAATTTTAATCACACATCGAGGGTCTTGCATTTAGAAAGTTTTCGGTGACTTTGTATTTCAAATTAAAGAATCACACGGGAGACATCATGTTTGTACGATTTACACGATAATACTAGTTTGTAAGCAACGGGATAAACGAAACTGAGAATGATGTTGAATAAATGTGTATTATACGAGATTTTACAAGTGTAGAGGATACGCGCGGACCGTAGACAAAATGAAACAAAAGTGATCCGCTAAATTGTACATTCGCGAAAAAAAAAATAAAGAAAAAATGAGAGATCGTTACCGAATATCACTACTGTGAAATATTTCTACGACATCGAGTCGCGATAACTGGATATTTCGCGACAATTATTAAGTAGAGCGAATTATCGTGTCTTGGATAAACTGTTCGTTGAAAAACGTAATGATTGGGCTACAGTGACTTCCTGTAAGCAACGAAGACTCGTTACTTGTGAATACGTTTGAAGAAGAAGAAAGAAAACGAAGTTTTGTTTAAAATATTCTGTATAATATATTGTGTGTTTGGTAATGAGACGAAAAAAAAATATACACCATGCGATTTGTTACATAATTGCATATAACATTGTTGTTCCCTTGACAGAGACATCCAATCTGTAACCTTCTTTGTTTTTATAATATTTCAACTTTCTGTAGACACATGTACCTCTAATTCTTTGTATAATATTATTTTCTTTTCTTTCCGTAGCGCGATGATACAAAAATTACACTCTAAATATATCTTAAAAATAGAATTAAAGTAATGATTTTTCAAAGGAGACTAGCAGGAAAAATTATTAAAATGATTATTTTAATATTTTTTAAATATTTTTGAAATTCGATCCCAGTTTGTCGGAATCAAAAGTTACAGAGGTTTCAATTTTTCTATAGAAAATCTATGCGTCGAACATTTTAGCTGGGGGTTCCTAATACCCCGCATGCCATAATGTCGGTATGCAAAGAGTGTTACCCGTGCTTCAGGGTCCCTAATACCCCAAGATGATATGTCGGCATGTAGGGAGAGTCGTCGGTGCTTCGGGGTCCCTGACACCCCAAGATACAAGGTTAGTATGTACAGAGCGCCACCGATGCATTGGGGTCTCTGACACCCCGATGCCATAATGTTAGTGTGCAGAGACCTACATGAATCTAGCCAGAAGGAATAATAAAATGATTATTTTTAATTTTTCTTAGTGTATTTCGTTTGTAAATCGTTTGTGATTGATTGTGAGTCTATTTTTAACGTTTGTGACAAATTAGTTCTTTTGTAATTAGCAATTTTATTTCAATCTTGATGTAAGCTGAAACTTTTTAGTAATTTCTTATAATAAACAGATTTTGTGATAACTGATAGCTGTAATTGATTGGCAATCGTTTGTTATTTACAAATTTTCATTTTCATTGTTTGTGAATGAGTAATTTCTTAATCATTTACAAGTTTGTTTTACAATAAATAATTGTAGTGCGCATGCGCTACAGATCCGCTCGTACCCATCACTACCACGAATAAGAGAGTTTCACGATTTGTTCGTTTTTAGGTCTTATATTTCGCTATTTGCTGCGGGTCCCTGACACCCCGGTGGCATAATATCGGTATGCAGCATCGCCGGTATCTCGGGGTCTTAGATACCCCGAATGCCGTAGTGTCGGTAAGCAAAGTGTGTCGTCGGTGCTTCGGGGTCCCTGACACCCCGGATGCCAAAATGTCGGTATGCAAACAGTGTCATCGGTGCTTCGGGGTTCCTGACACCGCAAGATGATATGTCGGTATTCAGAGATAGTCGCTGGTGCTTCGGGGTCCCTAGCACCCCGGATGCTATATTATTGGTATGCAAAGATACACGCCTGCGTTCAGGGGTCCTTAATACCCCAATATGATATCAGGTCGGTACGCAGAGGGCATTCTTGGTGCAGCGGGGTCCCTAACACCCCTGGATAATATCAGGTCCGTATAAAGAGGGCACAACCAGTATAATTTTTTTCCAGAATTTATTTAATTTAATTCATTTATTTTTTGCTGCTTATTAAATAAGCTCATCGAAGAGGAATAACATTTATGATTATATCCCCCTTCTGGGTCTCAGCCAAGGACCCCATTTATTTTACTTTTTCCAGTTATTTATACAATTATATCTCTCATTATAGGCCAAGGCCATCTCAGTATCCCTTACATCCCTGCATTCCTTAAACACCATTTTTTTTTTTTTTTTTTTTAACGTGGTGGAAATCTTCAGAAAGACACCTTCAGCCCCCCTGGGGTGGGGCTAGAGGTAGTGTGGGATTTTTACCCACTAAAACCACCACGGTGGCCTGCCTTGGGGCCATAGGGAGAGTCCTTTGACCCTCCGCCATGTGCCAAACTCCGCCATCGGGGGCCACACCCAATGCCGGCACTCCTTGGGGCGCGTGTAGTGGAGACCGGGGCCCCAGCCCCGGACACTTGCGGGATTCCTTTAAATCCCTCGTTCCGTTACATCACTGCATCCCTTACATCCCTGCCTTCTTTTCATCCCTACATTCCTTTCGTCCCTACATTCTTTTCATCCCTACATTCTTTTCATGCCTACATTCCTTTCATCCCTACATTCTTTTCATCCCTTATATCCCTACATTCTTATCATCCCTTAAATCCCTAAATTATTATCATCCCAACATTCTTCTCATCCCTGCACTCGCGTCATCCCTAAACTCTTTTCATCCCTACACATTTTTCATCCCTACATCCTTTTCAGCCCTACATTCTTTTCATCCCTTAAATCCCTACATTTTTATCATCCCTTAAACCCCTAAATTATTATCATCCCAACATTCTTCTCATCCCTGCACTCGCGTCATCCCTAAACTCTTTTCATCCCTACATTCCTTACATCTCTGCATCCCTTATAATAAATATACAATATTATAAAGACGGCTTCGAGTAAAGGTAAGTAAAGGTAAGTTAGTTCCTTTTGGTTCAAATTTTTGCCGCTAGGGGACGCTATTTTTCGAGAACTTCGCGAAAATTTCGAAAAAACAGCGCCCCCTAGCGGCAAAAATTTGAACTAAAATTTCGATGTCGAATCAGCGCCATCTGGTTTCGGAAAAAGGAACTAAACCTCGCACCATTTCTGGCCCTCTGGCGGCAAAAATGTGAACTAAAATTTCGATGTCGAATCAGCGCCATCTGGTTTCGGAAAAAAGGACTAAACCTTGCACCATTTCTGGCCCTCTGGCGGCAAAAATGTGAACTAAAATTTCGATGTCGAACCAGCGCCCTCTGGTGGCGAAAAAAGGAACTAAATTTGTATAGAATCGCAGGCTTTATAGCCGCAAAAATTTAAACTCAATTTCAGGGAGGTACTGGGATGTATGTATGGAATGCGGAAATATAAGTGATACAAGGATATAAAGGATACAGGCATGTAAGGGATGCAGGGATGTTAGGGATGTTGGGATATAAAGAAGGCAGGAATGTGAGGAATGCAGAGATGTAAGGGATGTAGAGATGTGAGAAATGCAGGGATGTAAAGGAAGCAGAGATGTAAGGGATGCAGAGATGTAAGGGATGCAGAGATGTAAAGGATGAAGAGAATGTAGGGATGAAGAGAATGGAGGGATGAAAAGAATGCAGGGATGAAGAGAATGTAGGGATGAAAAGAATGTAGCGATGAAAAGAATGCAGGGATGTAAGGGATGAAGAGTTTATTTAATTGACTTTATTTACTTTCTTTGCTTATTAAATAAACTCATCGAAGGGTAATAACATTTTTGATTGTATTCCTCTTCTGGGCCTCGGCCTCGAACCCCTTTTATTTCACTTTTTTCAATTATTTATATACTTTAATCCCTCTTTATAAGCCAAGGCCACCCCTTTCAGTTATTAATTAATTTATCCTTCTTTATGGGGCAAGATCCACGCTCCCTAACTATTTATTATCCTACTCCTTTTTATGGACCAAGGCCTCCGTTGGCAAATATTTATATCTTCATTCTATTTATGAACCTCGCGGGGGCTACCACTAAATTACTGTATCTCCGTATCCCTTGTTATATTATAATTTCATTTTATAAATAATTACTCGGGTATCATACAATCTCCACAAACAAGAGAACACTGGCGGCATCTATACGATATCGGCGGAAACTACTCAACAAGTTGCACATATAGATCTTACCTGACGATGAGTTGTGGGGTGCCAGAGACCCCAGAAAGGGAACAAAGGCATGCCCAGTCTTTTTGTATCTGTTGTCACTGCAGATACTAAATTGTTAAAGTACTGTTCACAACGTTAAGATGTAAAGAACTTCGTTAATTATCAATCGATATAATTAAAAATGGTGTAGTTTATATATTATAGAAAAATTTATACAGCAATTATATTTGTATTGTAATTTAATTAGAGTGAAGAAAATATGAAGATATAATTACTTTTGAATTACTAAATGTATCGAAGGGAACGATACGACTTATCGATTTTCGATAATTCGTCGAAATTTGAAGTGTCTTAAAAACCTGGAATAAATCATTTTAACAATTCTTTGTAAACAATAACCTACAAAAAATAATTTATGTACTAGTAATAAGTAATGTAACACTAAATACCGTGGAATAACGCGTGTAATGCTGAAACTTCTGATTTATTCACCCATATGGATTTTTATTACGCTTCTATTAATTGCTTCTACCACCAGGACAAAGGAACATAATATTATTAATACCATTAATTCCTCTTCGTGTTATAATTATAATTATCAACAAGATTGTAGATGGTTAAATAAATTCGACAATACTTTTGTAAATTATATACACGCGTTCCAAGGATTGATAACCATTTTCCTAAATGAAACTTGCATGTATGATTATACTGAAATTAATAATTTGAAAAATACAGTGAAAGATTCCGACAAATTGCAAGAGCACCAAAAAAATAAAGTACATGATATTTCAACGTATACAGTTAAGAAACAAATTCCAAATTTTTTAATAAATCCAATATACTGTTACCCGAATGATCACCTCAAACCAAAATTAGCTTTTGTGGTTAATAATATATCGCAAAATCTTGTAAAAGGAAATGAGAAGGAAGGGAATTTGATCAATTACAAATGGAAACGAAGAACATTGTGTGCGATTCATTTGGATGACAAACATTCAACGCAGACGTCGTTTAGAGACAATGATGCTAATAAAGAAGCTGGAGAAAAGACGCTTATTGACTACGAAGAGCCACTTTTAATAGATGACACGGAGGACCCGGAATCCTTAGAAACTCACGTACGAGTGAAAAGAAGCAAATCTGATTCGGGTCCATTTTCATCGTTAAGGTACCAACAAGAATACTTGAGAGATTTAGCAAATTCTTTTCCACGAAATACGATCGACGAAAGTTCTTATGATGACGATGATATTTCATTCGACGCGAAACGAGAAATTAAGTCTCAGGAGTTTCATGTAAACGAAGATGAAACTGATCGATTAAAAGTTACCGATACTAATCAGGAAACGGCATCAGCAAAAGATGATAGTTCATTTAGAAATCAACGAGCAATTGATGAAAATATGGAAATTCAAAATCTTCCAGACGATTTATTAGCGGTAGACTTAGTAAGAAAGAAGCGAAATAACTTAATAGGGAAAACCATACCCGATTCTAAAAATTTGAACGATGAAACAGAGAAACATTTAAATATCGAAGATAAAAATAAAGAAATGTCCAGTTTAGTTGCCGCTAATTTAAAGGCACATTTGTTACGACTTAAGAGGAGGGCAAAGAATAATCGTCACGAAAAAAATTCAAACGCAAAGAATAAGAAGAAGAAGCACGCAGGAAAGAAACGAAATAAAAATTCACCGCGATCGATAGGAAACGTGCACAGGAAGAGTGCGAATAAATTAAGAACGCCTCGCGAGAGAAAATCGAACGGAGCGAGAAGCGAGGGTAAATCAAATGTAGGGGTTGCTAAAGTAGTTTCTAAGAAAAATAATAAGAACAATTTTCATCGTAGATTCGTAAAATCGAAAGAATCTAAAAACGATCGTTCTTCCAAGAATCTCGCATTGGAAAATAATCCCGATAACTCTGAACTTGTACGAGAATCAAGCGTGGGAACCGAAAGTAATACCGACGATGTTCCGGTGGGATCGGACGATAATGCAGATGCGCAAGATCAAAACAAGCAACAAACTTACCCGGAAACAACAAAGTTACGCGAGAAAAGAAATAAAAATACAGAAGGGAGTCACGGTTTTTTGAACAAGGAAGATGAGTTGAGATACTACGAAAATATTCGGGAACCTGAACCGGAAATGCATCGAAACGATGGTAAAAAACGACGGTCGATGACGAACGAGGTAAAAAGCGACCGTGCAGTGAGATCAATCGAAGAAGTTAAAGATCTTGCAAAGAAATTAGTCACCAAGGTAAGTTCAATAAATATCTGTATCAAATGGAGGATTTTGAAACATTGTTTTCCATATTTAAAAATCCATCCATCAACTTAATAGATTCCTTCTTATCAGCAAACAATTTCTCAACAGGTAAACGAGCTTCAAAATTTTATCAATGCCGAAGAGTCGAAGACTAACGGAAGAAGAGAAAGAAGAGTTGAGACACGCGCGATCGACGATTTATGTTCGAACGTTAGTACAGCTTACGATGCTTTCAAAGAAACTCCAAAAATTATTCAGAAATGCGTGTCAACGAATCGTAAACCTTCACCGTCTCCCGCGAAAATAATAGTCGAAAGGAAAATAGTTCCAATGAAAATGAATAAGGAAGGTAAATTCGTTAACGAAGGAAAGGAACATTCTACGATGGAGAAGAAACGGTCGGTCATTAGAAGGGTACCAAAGACTACATCAAGAATGATTCGCAGAGAAAATGAAAAGGCACATCATAAGTGGGGCAGGTGGACAGATTGGAGCAGCTGTAGCGTCACCTGCGGCAAAGGACGACAAATTCGATGGCGGTACTGTCTGCGTGACTGTAGTACCGCGGAAACTGAAATGGAAGAGAAAGCTTGTCAATTACCAGCGTGTCCCCCTGGAAAATTTCTTGGTATATTCTAGTAACAAGGAATAATACTCTAATTTTATTTTTTAAATATATTTACAGTGTAATTTCTGTATCATCGCCCTATGTAAGGAAAAGAAAGTACTATTAAATAAAGAATTAGAAGTACATGTTTCCACAGAAAGTTGAAATATTATAAAAACAACGGAGGCTACAGATTTGAAGTCTTTGTTAAAGGAAAAACAATGTTAAGTGCAATTCGGTGAAGGGGTCTTATGCAAGATTTCTTCACGTTGAAGAAAAAAATAATTTGCAGGCACTGATTCGAATAAAAGCTGCGACACCATTGTTAACCGTTCGACCTAGAGTAAAGTGAAACCCCATCAGTCATACAGTAACCGCCGCGGGGGGCGAATCTACCTGTTAAACATATATATACCCTTATTTTATTTTCTGCGTTTAATTAATTAGCTGTATTCTTCTTCTTCATAGCTTATTCAATAAACTCATTAAAAGGTTGAACGTGTTGATTTTATTACACCTGTGCCTATTATTTTATACCGTTCTTTATTATTTTACCCTAGTTTGTAAGCCTCGCGGGAACCATCCTCCCTAGTCATTTATTATTTTATCCCTCCGCCTGGACCCAAGGGCAAGGGCTGCGGGTGATTGTGAAGCAATCTGCTATTACCATCAAAGTGCGTTAGACTGTTGCAGTGCGAAGTATTTCTCATTTTTATTCTAGGATAAAGCAGGTGGCGGTCGTTCTCAATGCACAAATTAGCTTGTTGGATCTGTAGTCACTGTCGTTAGTGCTGAAAAATGTGGGAAAAGTTATATGTTCTTTAAATCATATTATTAATTATATAAATTATATTTATTTCTTCATTAAACAAACGTTCAGTTAATATATTATAATATTCTATTTTTTGCAATATGAGTAAAAAATTAAAGCTCGATCATCTGACAACATCAAAATGTTTACGATCTGGAACTAAAGCCGGTAGTACAGATTCATCATCTACAACATCAAAGTATTTTGACAATAAAGATGCATTGCCAAAAAAAGTAGAAAAGAAAAAACTGTCACCAATAAAAATAAAGAATGAAGAAGAACAAAATGTGATTAAGGTAGAGAGTAATGACATAAAAGTTGAAGATTCAAAACATGAAGTTATTAAGGAGGAAAGTACCCAGAAAGAAAACAATTGGATGCCACCAAATTGGGAAATTATTTGGAATAATGTAAAAGAAATGCGAAAACACGAAACAGCACCTGTGGATAAAATGGGTTGTCATAAATGTGCTGATCCTGAAGCCACTGCCAAGGTTGCTAGATATCAATCATTAGTAGCATTGATGCTTAGTAGTCAAACGAAGGATCAGGTCACTCATGCTGCTATGCAGAGATTGAATGCTTATGGGTGTACACCAGAAATAATGAAGGATATCCCTGATGATGTTCTTCAGAAACTTATATATCCTGTTGGATTTAGGAAGGTATAACTTAGTATTAATATAAAAACAGAGGCAGTTAAACTAAAAGTATTAATTAAGCAATGTGTTAAATTTAAAAGATTATAATATTTTTCAGAGGAAAGCAGAGTATATTAAAAGGACAGCAAGAATTTTAGTTGATAAATATAACGGTGATATACCTAGAACACTGAAGGAATTGTGTGAGTTACCTGGAGTTGGACCAAAGATGAGTCATATTTGTATGCAAATAGCATGGGGTGAAGTTTCTGGCATTGGTGTGGATACACATGTACATCGTATTTGTAACAGATTAGAATGGGCGAAGAAACCAACAAAGACACCAGAAGAAACAAGAATTGCACTGGAAGAGTGGCTTCCAAAAGATCTTTGGAATGAAATAAATCATCTACTTGTTGGATTTGGACAAGAAATTTGCTTACCAAGATTTCCCAAATGTAGTGAATGTCTGAATAAAGACATATGTCCGTTTGGTAAAAAAAATATAATTAAGAAATGTGATTTTTGAAACTATTTATCATAAAATGTATTTATTTGTATTCATGATATTTGAAAAACACAATTTATAATATTATTGCTTTAACTTTTTTTAAGTTTCACGTTGTTTCCGAATTTTTTCATTATGCTCTTTAGTTTTCTCATATTTTCTTTATTATCTTTTTGCCATTATATGTCTGTTTTCGTTGGAGTACTTTACTGTTTCTTACGTGCAAAAAAGATTATTACCGTTACGAAATGTTTCTTTTAATACCCTTTTGTACTTACATAAATTTGATGATTAAGGGGGTAGACACGGGTAATGCAGCGAGGTGACATTACCGACAAAAATGGGAATCGGTTATTCGTTCTTATATGAGAAGATTTTGAGCTGAATACGGGCTCATTCGAAAGAGGAAGGTTCAATGCAGGGGGCTCAGGTCATCGTTTGAGTCACAAAACTCTTTTAGTGACCTAAAAACACTTGGATTCTGCGGGTGTATTTTCTCGATTTTTCCTCTACTTTGGACACAAACATTGATTATTTATATTTTATTATAATATCAACAAATTTATTTGGAAATATCTATTAATATTTTAAATTTCGGCTTGTTATAATCAAATTTTGTATGTTACTAAACTACATTGAAAGCTTCGTACTTAAACATTTCATCATTTAAAGTATTTTTTATGCATATATTTCTTAAAATATCTTAAAATATATTATTGTCAATAATTAAAAAACTATTTGAAAAATAAGATGAACACGTTCACAGGATATTAAGTCTAATCAATATCGCTTTATTGTCATGAAAAGATAAGAATTATATGTGTGTGTAAGTTATACAGAAATACAGAAATATAAAGTGTCCATACCTTAAAATTTAGCGTAGATGCAAAATGGAGGTTCAGAAGTTAGTCTGCAAAATTAGAATACACACACCGATAATCGTTTTGATCTTTACAGAAGGGTTTTAAAATTATTGATTTTCTCTCTGAATAAAAATATCAGTGTTAATCGCAAGTTACGAAATTCAAAAACTCTCCTTGGCCATATAATGATCGTTGTGTATGTCTTCTATTGTTCAAAAAAATTACAATTCTGTTTTAAACGAAAATGAAAGAAACGATCACAGATTCATCTCCCTATATGTAAATGTTACCGCGAGAAAAAGAAATGTAACGACAAAGTTAATATACGCCCTCTCTGCCAGAGACATGTTAGTTTAAAAAAATATCACTCATAATAATGGATCTTCGTTCTTCTACTTTTTCTTTCGATATAAGTGTCTACGTTCTACGGTGTCCTCTGAGCCGCAAATTTTTATTTTTATCAATTTATTTGCTTTCATGAACAGCTTTGCTGTTTTATAGCGCGGTGATACTAAATACAAACACAATGAAACGCTTTTAATCTCTCAAATTCTTGTCCCATTTGGTCCTCTTCAATAAAGTGTATGTATCTGATTGTGAGTATAGTATCAAGGTTTATAAAAAAAAAAAAAAAAAATGTAAAACTTGAAGGGAAACGTTTGGGTTAGGTTTCTTTTAGATTAAGGAAACCTATCGAATGTGTTTCGAAATTTTTGGTGGGGGTGGAGGGCATTCTCTTTAAGTGGGTACTATGGGACATTCATGCGTCGGATGGAAAATTAACAAGCACAATCACAGGCGCAACGACGGACGCGCTTCTCGCGGCGATGGGTGAACGCTTCTGGGATGGAGCGCACTGAGCGTGGTTGTACATCTGTAAACAATTAAAAACAGCCTATATAATATTTAATTAAATACGTGTAAACAAATCATTTTTGAATTAACCCACTACCAGACCTATGCGAGACACTTAATTTCAATTTTTTAATTTTATATTATTTTTGCATTTAAGATAAAAATCTTTTCTGTGAAAACCTGAGCGTTTAATTTTAATAGGTGCACCGTCTTTTACTTACAATGCGGACGACTTTCTTCTTCTTGTTCCTGTTGCGGTTGCTGTTGCGTTTGTTGTGGTTGGTGCTGTTGCTGTATCATCATGTGGGTTACGTGTTGTTGCTCCGGTTGTCGTTCTTGATCTTGTTCAGCCATTTGACTGTCGGAAACTTCGGCACGAGCTTCAACTGGTATTTCTAAGGATTCTACAGGTTTCAGTGACAGAGAAAATCTTGGTACCGGGAAAGCATTGCCTTCTACAACCTAAAAATCAGAGATGATAATAAATATAATTGAGAGGATATGTAGATGAAAAATGTGTGTTAAAAAAAATTTGGCAGCGGTGGGATTCGAACCCACGCCTCCGAAGAGACTGGTGCCTTAAACCAGCGCCTTAGACCGCTCGGCCACGCTACCCCCTGATGGCTTGGTAAAAAATTGCTGATGCAGTGGTTCTCATTTAAACTTATATAATACACAGAAAGTATATTTAAAAATCAGAATGGAATAATTCATTCAATCATTTTAGGAACCATATTTTTATAATTTTATTATTATTGATTACAGTATATTATTCCTTGAGAAGAAATTTAAATTGTACGATGGAATGTAATTTTATCTTGCTAATATATTAAAACCCAAAATGCTAAGCACGATGATTTTTTTATTTTATTTTCTAGTATGATGTTATCTAAAAATTCAAAGTTATCTTGATATCTTGAAAGATACAAAATACAAAATAAAATAAGATTCACTCTGTGTCAGAATGAAGAGATTACAAACTATACGAAATTAATTAATATGCTTTTACCTGATGAATTATGTTACGAATTTCAGCTGGTACTGGGAAGTTTCTTTCCTCCTCGCTATCTTCTTCTTGTCCAGAGTAAGATTTAGCTTCCTGTTGTTCACTAGAAGCATCCGATCGCTGATGACTCTCTATGCTTCCATGTTCCAACAAGTTTCGGACTTCTATGGGAAGTGGAAGTCCAAGAGGGATGGGTTGTGCTCCTTCCGGGAACGGTTTGAATTCTTGAACGTTCTGAAAATTATTCAATACGTTTCTATAAAGTTTACAAAATCGTATTCTATATAGCAATCAAAATAGATATTTTAAATAATAGAATTACCTCGCGGCGAGCACCTTCAGGTACTTGTACAGGGACGGGTCTCCCTTCGCCAGTGATATGTTGAATGATATTCTTGATCTCCACAGGCACTTGTTGGATGATTCTTCGAATTTCGAACGGGATTCCTTGGAAGGGAGAACGTTGTCTCTCGGTAACCTGAGCCGGTTGTGGTTCAGGCTGAGGCTGAACTTGAGGTTGAGGTTGCATTTGAGGTTGTACTTGAGGTGGAACTTGAGGTGGTCGTTGTTCGGTTTGAGGAATCAGCATGTGAGGAATCACTCTTTGTTCGTGAATTTGAGCTTCCGCCTGCGGTGCTGGTGGAGGCATCATAGCTGGTCCTTGTTCTTGATTGAATGCTCCAGGTGCTTGCTCGACTTGATGGTACATCATTGGTACTTGTTGCGGCTCCTGGGGCATTGGGGGTCGCATTCCTCTGATTGGATTCACTGGGTAGTGATGCAACTCGATGGGAATTCGACGTATCTCAACCTAAACAAATCACGATTGGTTCGAACATCGTAAAGATTATTTTGAAACGGAAACTAATTTTTCAAAAGTAAAAGTTACTCACTTGTGGTCCAGGTGCAGAGTTCTGTGGCCCCATAGCAGGGTTCTGTGGTCCCATCATAGGATTCTGTGGTCCCATCATAGGATTCTGTGGTCCCATCATGGGAGCCTGTGGTCCTACACGCGGTGGTCTCATTTCCATGGTAACTTGAGGAAGGTTTCGTAATTCAGGTGGAAGAACACCGGGTGGAATGTGATTCAGTCCACGTGGGTCACTAAGAGGCAACTGTTGCATATCAGGAACTTGATATTGAGTGTGGATTTGATATTGATGGTAGCCTGGGTTTGGTTCCTGAGATTGAAGAGGTACTTGGACTGTTCCCAGAGGAATGATGATCGGAGTAAGCATTTCTTGCTCCTGTTGCCTGGAATTATGTTTTTCACTTTGATGATGATTTGAATGAATTATTATAACTTTTTGGATCTCTACGATGGACTCCGTTTGAATGCATACATGAAATTTCTTTTTAATTAAAGCTAAAACATTTATTGTTGTTTTAATACGTACTCTTGATGAGGATTGCCAGATTCGCAGAGAATAGCAACGCGTTCTCCGCTCAGTCTCTGGTAACGAGAGTCTGTGTTGTTTTCCACGTTGTTGTTAGCACCATCCATCACTTGATCGGCCCTTCGTCTTTCAACTACACAAGAAACTCTGCTTCGTGCCTCTTGAATCAGAGTCTAAAAAAGAAATAATGTCTTAATTTATTAAACGAAATTTTTAATACTACTTACATTTCATTCTATTCATTTATCTTTCATTTAAAAGAAAAATAGAAGAATATTTATAACTTGTCAATTTATAGAATACATTAATATTTATCAACTTACGCCCGCAATTTCGTCAAAATCGAATTGAAGGGGTAGCTTAATGTGAACAGGAGGAAACTCGTCGTCATCGTAGTCATCATCGTCGTCGTCGTGATCACTGCTTTCACTATCTGACTTTGAATTATTTTCGTCTTCCTTTTGAAGTTTGATGTCCTTGGTATCTGGCATTACCTCCTTTTTAACTGGTGTTTGCGCAGCCAAATTCTGCTGTGCCTCTTTCAGTTCAGTGGTATCCTATGCAACAAAAAATTCCTTTAAAATATTTATAATCTATCACCTATCATCTATGATTTATTATCTACAATCTGTAATCTATAATCTCTACAAACACCTACATTTGTAAAAAGATATCACAAGACATCTTTAAACGTACTTAAACTTCTACTATTGCACAATGGCACAAAGCAAAAAAATAATAATAATGAAAATAAAAAAGAAAGTTTCGAATTTCCTACAGAAATCTGATACGTTATTTTAAAGTTACACAAGTACATAGAGAATTAAATGAAGTACTAGCAACGCGTGCTCGCCGAATGATTAGAATCTCGTTTTGAATGACGTTTAAAATATGACCCGGTTCGTATTAGATAAGATAAAAAACGGCAGGGTTCAGGTGAACCAGTCATAAAATACGATCTCTCCGACATTTCTATGTCGGATATCGTGGCAGTTAATCGAACGTGTCTCATCGTTGCTCGGGTTCGATTTCTATCTCTCTGTCTCAGTTTTACACCACGATAACACCAAGAGAGTTCACTTTCACTTGCGACCCGATGTCGCGACCAGGAAGAAGAGTTGCATCAACAGATGATTACCGCGGCGATATTTATCCAGCTTTCAAAGGCTTAAGGAATACTCGTGGCTTGTTTTCGCCATGGCTGCATCTCCTCCGGATCTTCTTCGATTTCTCTCGCTAGGAAGAGGTCATTCGTCAGATGGGATCTAAATCATCCCACTAGCTAGCTTTTAATTACATTTAATCACCGATACTGATAATGCTAATAATGACTGGTTGAAGCAATACAGCGATATGCTCCAATAAACAGAAGCTGTAAATGAGCCGATTAGTTTCAGAAATTCTTCATCATCTTTTATTGACCGTCCCGTTAACTTCATGTTTGTCTGTTGATGCGAAACTCAATTTATAAAATTGGACGCCATTTTGCAATAAGATGTCAAGCCCCATGATATTTTTTTGTGCACTAAATATAGTAAATGGAATGCTTATAATGGGCCCTCATGGAAAAAGAGCCTCAGAGCTGTAACCCCATTGCACCTCTCCTTAAACATACCTTTAGACCTTTCCTTAATCCAGCATTGAACATCTCATTAACCGTCTAATTAAATATTATTATAAAAATTAAAAAAAAAAATAATTCTACGCTTCAAAAGTACCCAAAATGGCGATTTTGTATTAACACTGTATCGCAAAATGGCGTCGTTTGGAGGTTGGATAGGTAGATTATGGTTTCGCGAGACGGTAAATGAGGAAACGATGCAAGATAAGTATTTGGCGGATGGCGATAGGAAGGAAGTTGGCGTTTAATACTTTCGAGAAACTAATTTGTGATCGGTCAGCAGGAAACCATTATAGTGCAAGAAACGTTAGTTGCATCAGGTTCTTTGCTAGCTGAGACGTTTCGACCGGTTCTATTTGCTGGTTCGAAAGAGAGGTTTCGCTTCACGTGAAGTGACAACTTTCTAGAATATCAGTGAACGCAATGAAAGGTAGCCGGAATGGCTTTAGCTACCGATCTGCTTCTGGTTTTCGCAATTCCAGATACACTGAAACAAACTTCGATCATTTCACCACTGGTCAGAAAGCAACCTTCATCGTCGGTTTGGCTTATGAGAAAGTTCTATGTTTTGTATTTACTAACATTCTTGCGTTTACATAGCAATGAAACGAAAGTACATACATATTTATTTTAGAGGATATTTCATCTTTGTATTTATTCAAGTTGTAAGGTGAATTTCAATTTCAAATAAGACGCCTTTGTGCAAAATGTTAATGTCACCATGTTTCATATTAATCTTTATTGCGGAATTCTTTTTTTAATTTTGTAAAAATACAGGTTTAAATTAAAAAATGTCTTTTTATTTTAAAAATTTATGCATGCAATATTAAAAAATTCCAACATTATGTAAAACAAAATCACAAATGTTTAAAAGGACAAAAATTTCATAACATATTATTTTATGTAGCAGATTACAAAATAATGTAACGCAGGATTAAAGAAAATGTATAGCCCTTGATAAGAATTAAAAAAAAAACAATTAAGAATTGAATTTTAAAATAATATTAAATTGCTGAATAACTATTATTAGATATACCCCATTTTTCAAGTTTCTATTTTGAATTTTTATTTATTATTTTATTTCAATGTTAAATCAAAAAATGTGATCCTTTACTTAATGCAAATTACATTTGTTACGAAATGGAAATGTCTTCAATAATAAAAATATTAAAAATAAATAATACCTAACTTCAGTATACATGGCATTGAGCCTTCTAAAAATATAAGAATTTTCAGCGTAACTGCAAAATGTGTATTTAATTTATTGCATAATTCGTGTGATGTACACATCATATTATCTTTTTTAAAGATATTGTTATTGCGTCAGCGTTTAAGCTGATTATTGCCTCCATTTCGTAAAAGTTAAACAACGATTGTAATTTGTATATTCAGGGATCATTAAACTTGAACAAAAATTTGTATAGTATTATAATTGAGTAACAAGTACCAATATCATCATGGAATTTAAACAAATGTTTGATAAAACTCAAACGTTACGGAGTATCTTGTGCACAGTCTGGAGATATGACAATGCTATATGTGTAAAAATGAAATTCCAAATCTATACACACGAATAAGATTTACAATAATTTATTATTTATTAAATCAGAATATTTGAAAACATTATTTGCAAATTACTTATACTTCAAATTTTTTGTATTGCGTAGGTTAAATAAAATTTTAATATAAGGTGTAAATCATTGTTTAGTATAATTTATATGCAGGCGGTACCATAAAAGAATAAAAACTTTCAACTTGAAAAATTATTTAGGATGTAAAAACAATTTGCGGTGCTTGAGCGACAACCTGCATAATCGTCAAGCTAGAACGAGAAGAAACAGGTGACATTTCTTAATGCCTAAAGTATAAGTGCCTGTAAATTAACCACCATTTCTGTGTCACGATATTTTCTTGTCTCTTTGTAAAAAGAAAACGAAAATAGATATGAGTTATGTAAGGAAACAACAGTAAAATTCTTCAAGTGTGAAGATTCTGTTCCATGAAAAACTACCGCTTTGGAACAGACAATAGCATGTGGTGGTTTACGTAATGACTATCAGTTTTGTAACGTAATTTCCAATTTCAATTACACCTCTTGAGTCGCGAAAGGATTTCAAACTCTGAACATTCAGTTCTAATCTATGAATTGCAGAGTTGAAATTTGACTAAAATTATGATTCATAATACAAATTAATTTATTGCCTTCAGTATTACACCTTCTTAAGTAATGTTTTAAATTTGAATGTTTTCTCGCGATTTTGTGTATTTGAAAAATGGCTGGAGAATATAATAACAATAAATATTTCATTAATTGAAGTTACCATGACGTTTTAAAAATAAATCTTCAATTAAAAAATGAAGGAAATCCACAGAATTAATTTAAACATATAGTAGATTTTATGCATCATTCCATTTATTCTATAGGGGTGCCGTGTTAACTCCTTTTAATTATTATTTAAAAATCTGGAATCTCGATTTTATAACTGCTTCGTGTCACCCAGAATTTCACTCAACGCTTTCTTAAAATACCTACAAGACACGTTAACATCTTACTTTCGAGTTATTCAGAGAACTTGGCCAAGTTACTGAACGAGCCGGAAGGATTTCACGAGGAAAGGAAATCGGCGGATTTCGCGTTGCATGCAATACAGAATAAGGAATTAGTATTGCAATTTGCCGGAGAGACGAGCCTCACGACTAGTCGTTCCCACAGGCTTTCTTTAGAAATCCTGCCAACCCTTTCTGCTGGCTGCCTATCAATTAGCGAACCATTATGACGGATAATCATCGTCGTTAAACGACTCGCGCACTGTCAACCTTATATTACAAGGATACATTGTGTTCTCAATGATGTTGAGTTGCACTTGCGTGCCTTCATCGCTGGCCAGATGGAAATCAACGGCATACTTTTCCTTCAAGAGCATCATACTTTCAATCCTACCAACTGGTTCTCCATATTTCAATGTCTTTATTTTGACACTGTTGCAGATAAGCCTTTTACACCAGTGTAAAAATAACACTTTCAACAGTAGATTTACCAGGTAGTCACAATAACTGCTTTCAGGTTTTTTAATTTTAAATTACAGAATTTAATCGTAAGATCTTTTTGTTGAGATATATGTCGACTATTGTATTATTTATTTTTAATTTGGAGGTAAGTTATCTGATGAAGTTATCCCCATTGTATCTTCTGTACTTTCTCAAATCTATTGTATTTCTTAGAATTTTGCCCCTCCTGTCTTGCCCTTTTATACACCATGGGGATCATTAATGGCAGAAATCACAAATCTAACATAATCGAAAGTAAATTAATTAAAGGAGATTTTAAATAGCATTAATATTATATTAATTGCACAAAGTACCAATTTTAGGTTCTGTAAATTTGGACTGTATTAAAAATAAAAACAGTATTTAATAATATAATAGTCATATGCCATTTCATAATTGAAAAATCTCTATACAGATTTAGTAAATGGTATGACAAAAAACACTACTTTATTCATATATTGCAAAGTATTCCGAATATTTTCCTCTATTTCCCAATGAATTTTCGCAATAATAGTTACGATCATGAGAAATATCACTTTCTATATTACAAAATATTCTCTACATTCACGTACATCTCTCAACAACAGTTTAAAGAAATGATTACAATCATTGAAGACCACAATCATTTTTTGATAGTTATTTTGTAATTAATAAGATGATTGATTTACGATTCAATCACGTTAAAGAAAAGTGAAATTTAGAAGATACTCGTTAAGAACGAAGAAATTTTCTAACTTCAATGAGCATCGCTGTAGCACGCGAACGCATCGTATAGAACGGATGAAAATCATTCTTGATAATTGATAAGGAGTGGCTTCTGTCGTCAAGGTAAATGTGGTATGTGAACAACGTCTCAGAAAGGAGCAGGTAACAATACAGTTAGTTTACGGAGAGAAAATCTTTTTAGAGAACGTTCACCTTACTGCTGGCTCGTGCAATGTGCAACCCACTTTCTGTTGTGCTACGAGTACCTTTCCATCGAGAGACGTAAAAATCCAGCGCAGCATCCTCATCATTTTATCAGCAACATGATCCTCAATCATTTTATCAGCAAATTAATTTTTTTCATGAATTTATGGTTCATCTATTCATCTTCATATCTTTATCTCAACTTTATATAGTTAAAAAGAAAACAAAAATAAATATAGGGTGACTCAAATAAAGTGTTATAAGATATTTTCTCCAAAATCAACACCTGGCATGGTCGTAGTTATGTTAGTAAATAATAATTTTATATTAATTTGACGAATAAAGCAGACAGTCCTTGACAAATTTTAAGAAATATTCTGTGCCACACTCATTTATACATATTTTTTTTGTTTTGTTAAAATCGTCAATTGAAAAAATTAAATAAATGCTTGAATTATTTTTTGCACCAATCTGTTTATTAATTAAAATATTTGTTTTAATCAATTTTGCATATCATAACGAAAGTATGAAATATCAATGACTAATCAGTATTATAAAAATCAATTTACAGTCATGCAAAATCGAAAATGAACATATTTTGTCAAAGTTATCATGACTGAGTTAAAGTAACACCAACTTATGATATTCGATTAATCCTGTTCTTAATTTTTAAGGTGCAGCAAATGTTTGCGAAAGAAGATGACAGTGTGCGTTTAATAAAAAGGACAGTTGAGAGTGAACCGTGAAAGAGAGAGCTTGAGAAAATTGGCTGGCGAAATGCGGTCACACGAATTGTGAAGAAGAAACCTCTGGAATATTCCACAGCTGCTTTTTATTTACCTTTTGATTAGATAAAATGCTTTAAAAATAAATTAAGTTTGTTTATAATAAAATATCCTATTTTGAAGATAATATATTTTTAATCTATGAAAATTAATGAGTTAAATATTTAATATCGCCAATTGATTATTAGAATTTCATCCCAGATAATATCTTATTGCTTTCGATTATTAAATGATCATTAAACACGTAATAAACTGTATTTTTAAAAATGATCTTATAATATTGCGGCTAAACTCTTCTTCGTTAATTAGCACCGAAGCAGATGATCATAATCAACACTTATTATTGTTAGAAAGGTGAGTGCATGGTCTTTTCTGAGGAACTTTCACTTGTTAACAGTAAAAGAGAATAAGCCGCTAATGTTCGCAATGAGGTGTTTAACTTTCAACGTGTGATTGATTAATTAACAAATGCAAATCTTTCCCCTCTCGAATTACAGAGATAGATTTATACTAGATTTATATTTGGATTAAAATTTTTCATTGTTTGCAAAAACTTTTGCTATTAATTTTCTTGCTATTCTGTCGACGTTTTTGTATGCGTTACACGCTCAAATAACGTGGATGTAATACAGTTTCCGGTTTACTTAAGGCAGCCAATAGAAAGTAAGATCGGCTTACGTGATTAGAATTTCAATTTAACAATGTACCTACACATATTTATCTGATAATTCTAATAGGATGGTGAAAAATTGATAAATTAATAATATGAAAAATTAAAATATTTTCCTATGAATCCGAATGTTTTTTCTAGAAGTCAACATTGTACACCGACCTGTTAATTCATTTTCTTTATTTTTAGGACTTGAATCGAAAGAACGATTACGTTTGTACTTTTTTGTAGACGATCCTTAAACTATATTTAAACGTATTTTAATTAGTCCAGTTCAATGGAATACATGCTACTTATGTATCCTAGATGGAAATTTTCTACAAAGTTTTATTTAAATCTGCAACGATCGTCGTCCTTGTCCTATAAGAACGTTCGAGCACGTCCTCGTTTGAATACGGCAATACCCGTACCTTTTATCTTGTGTTAGTAACAATCGCCTTCTTTTTCCATTAAAGAAAAATATTTTTGTGTTGGAAAAATTTTTAAATTACTTTGTAGATATGATACTACAGTAAAAATGGTAAAATGGAATTAAGAATAACTTCCAAATCGACAAATAAATGGATTCTAATTTCATTGTTTAACAATCAAAATCGTCTTAATGTCCATACAACTTCGCATAGGTTTTTAAACCGAAACAGCGACACGATTCGTAGATGGAAAGAAGTAAAAAGGTGATTTCCTGTTTCACGTTAAGATCGTACGTCCATCGAGGAACGTAACCTGGATTACGTAAGTCACTGTTGCGGTTCTCCTTGAACGCAGTTCTCCAGGCACCGGTGCGCACCGTTTCTTGCGTTTCGTTCTACGGTTTTTATTCCTCGTCCACGGTACACGCTTCTTCTTCTTCGCAACACGGCATTAACCATCCTTCTCTTCCTACTGATAAGTCTCAGGGTACCATCTATACTTTGCATTCAAAGGAGTTCTCCTCGAAAGCCAACGGTTTACGAACGGGGAAAGCGTTCAGGTTGAATGCCGCTCGTCCTTCGAACGATTAATCGATACTGGCTGGAAATTGCCGACGATACATTGAAACGCGCGATGCTGAATAATTGAATCTAAATGCGATCCATCGATTCTCACGGTGTTTCTCGTTTCTCAGCGATTAATTGCGTTCTAAGCTGATTGGATCTTACGTTTTATTTAATTCCCAATTACTAGAAATTACCACATTGAAATGTTGATTTTTTTTTTTTTTTTAATTTAGGGGAAAATTATATTCCTAATTCTAATTATGAGCGAAGGTTTTCAAACTATCTTATACTGTTATATCTCTCTGTTATTGACAGTAATATATCATAATAACGAGAGAAACCGAGACCTACATACCTAATGTGTTTTATGAATCGCTACCTAACACTTGTTCCACCTTCTCTCGACATTCATCGTCACAGTTTCTTTCAAACGAGATAAAATGACTCAAACACTGTACTTGTCCTCGTTCTAATAGTAATTAAACATCGATTAAAGACATCCGTCGAAAGCTATGATAGGTGGATGGAGATAACAATTATAAATATAACAGGGGGTAAAAGAAAAGAGGATGCTGGGTCCTCCTTATTTTAAACCTAATCTTAACCCTTTCTAGGATATTTTTTGTTTAATGACGAGTGTACTTCGAGAAAATAATTTGAATATACAAATTATTGACTATTAGTTACAGAAATTAATTTAATGTTAATTTTATAATTAAATATTAATTTTTAAAAAATTAGAATAACTCCAATTATTAAAATAATTGTCGCTATTATCGATGATCTTTTGTTATTCACTGTTCAACGTTTAAACATAAAACAAATTACTCAAACTGTATATTGCACAAATTATCCACTTATCACACAGCTGCCTCTCACGTACCATAAGTGGTACGTGTACTTACCACTAGTTGAGAATTGCTGTCGAACATGATACTTTCTAGGATATTTTCACAACAATAAGGCTACTTTTATGCATTACGAAAGTAGAATTGAAAATTTGCGTGCTCTATTTTGATTCATGATCCTTTCTATCAATCTGCCTCTTCTTTTGCTTGCAAAACTGCACACGAACGAGCTTCTTGCCTTGATTGTAATTCTACGCTTTCTAAGTTTCCGCCTTTTTATGAGTACTTAATTCACTCATTAACACTCCCCTTCAGCTATTATTTCCATACATACTGAAAGAGCGTGAAGAATCTAACGTATACTTTCATGTTTAACATAATCCCTTTAATTGCTCTTCTTCGAATATTTCAAAGCCTACCAATTTCATGAAATTAGTTAAATAACAAACTTAAAATTTCGTATAATTAATGTATAATATTTAAAGTTATTTTTAGTGTAAATATAAAATTGCAAAATAAACATAAAAAATAGAGAATTGCAAAATATATATTAAAGGTTGATTGATTACAGAAATTGATTCTGCTTTGTTAAAATCTTCAAAATTTCTACAAAATTGAATCTTTAAATTTTCTCTTTTGTTTTTTCAATAATCGCTCCTGTTTATTGGGTAGGGTGCAATTTATGGTCATAAAATTATAATAGAAAGTGTTCTAACATTTTCAAGTAGGAAACTTTCTCATGCTTAAGTAAAAAATATTACAATCTCTAAGGAATAGAAACCTTAATTACGATGAATATTCGATAACAACCAATTCGTGTAAAGCTGATTTATCCATAAAGCAAGTATTGCTTCACAAAATTGGCTTTGCGGCTTTACAAATGAAAAAGTTCACGATAAATCATCTTAGTAAATCTTAGCAGTTCGTTATTGCAAGTAATATCGAGGTAAATACCACACAGAAGGGCGTGATCATAGATCGAGCACGATCCTTTCTTTCCATCGAGTGCCGTGAGAAACAATTCTTATTTCTTTTCTTATTATAACAAAAATACTTTCAGGATAAAATTAAAATTCATATTGATCCCTGAATTATTAGACTAGAAAATTGAATGAATGATCTTTAGGTGTGTTTTGCTTCAAATTATTCTGTAACTTCTGGTGCAAAAAGATTGAAATGTTATTAGAAATATGACAAAAGATTATTGATTCTATTGGTTCTCACTTGGATTAATAATTGATGTTATTTTATCTTAATAAAAGTATTTCAATTACTATTACTATTACTATTTGCAATATTTTTTGCTTTAAATGTATTTAGCTCTAATTTTAGTAAGTCTTAAAAGTCAGTACATACTTTTCATTTTAAATAATTTCTTAATATGGTCTTATATTATTTTCACTTTATGCAAAATTAATCAATATAGCTGTTGGAGGAGTGATATAAATTATGGAAGTATAGCTTGCGATTTTATCTAAAGCATTCTAAAGGAAATTATTTTTCTAAAGTTTGTTATGTCTTATTAAACACATTGAAAAACATGGTGATAGCAGTGGAAAAACTATTCCACTTTCTCGCTCTGCTTTCACTTTCATTTTTGAACATACATCTACTTATGTTTCGTATCTGTTCTCAATCAAGAAAATGATACCTAAATCGATTACTTTCTAAAAAACATTTAAACCAAATTTTTAAATTCTTAGAAAATAACTTAAACTTACTATTATTTTTTCTCTATTTGCATTAAAAATATTACTACAACGTTACACCAAAAAGATTATTATTTTTGCAAAATTGTCGACTTAATAAATGTATAAATACGAATATTTGTGTAGACGAGTATACAATAAAAAAAAGCATGTGACACGTACGTGCACTTAGGTATCTTTGTATTGTTTGAATGATTACTTAAGAGTTTCTCGCCTTTTAAGAATTAACACTATTCAACCTTTTTCAACCGCAAGAGACAAATCAGTTTCTATGTTCAGCATGTCACCGCTAATCATATTAACACAATACCCGCTGCGTTTTACTTCCTTACTTTCCACCATAAACCTCAACGACTCCACTCGACTGGAAACAATATTCGAAAACCGATCGATCGGTTACAATCTATTGGCGATTGATCTTTTACATTCGATTAAAATCAAGGTGACCATTTAGAAATCTCGAAAGCTGGTACCGCTTTGAACGAGCGAAACAAGTTGCACCGAAGCAACTTGTCTTTTTGTTTAGAGACTTAACTGGGGAAATGCTTTTCTAAACTTTTCTAAACTATACGTGCCATACTTGTCTTTCCAGGAAGATTGAATTACAGTTTCAAAATGGAAAAATGTACTGGATATCTTATGGTTTTCTAACCACACTTTGAAAGTGTATTCTATAGTTAGAAATGGAAAATAAAATATGTTATAACAAGCTGTTCCAATAATAGTAATGTAGCTTCTAAGAAAGGCTTTAAGTTCGCTTAGAAATATAAATAAATTTCTTTTTATTTGCAACTTTATTTTTGAAAAAACCGAATTTAAATTTTTCTTTTAAATATCTATAAAAAATTTGTTTATGACAAGGAAGATTATAATTTCAACATCCATTTTGTTAATTTAACAATTATGGGAAACTATATATCAATAAATATTGATAAAACGTATTGTCAGTTAGTATCCTTCATGGGACTTCATGTTGCAATTAGAGGGCACTAAGTATTTCATACTTATTTTTTTGTTATATTAAAAAAGGCATAAGATATCTACGTTTTCTAAAAGCTAAAAAAAAGGGAAAATAATACCATAACAGAAATAATGTTACGCCCAAAAGAATTACATTTCCAAAGATTTAAATATTTTGGTCGTTTTTATCAATATAGACAATTAATGGCGTAAGTATTATTAATTGATACCTTATAAATTTTTTCAACAATAACTAAGTGGTACCTATATTTTTTTTTAATAGATCTTTTTTATTGAACTTACCTGGATGAGAGCTTCCGGTTGCAGATGCTTCAAGAATTCACCTTGTTGATAGGAGGCTGAAGCTTGCTGTTGCTGTTGTTGTTGGAGCCTTAATTCTGCTTGCATAGCAGCAATTGATTCAGGAGTGCAGGATGCTCGAGCCTGAACCCAGGACGCTGCGAGGATGAAGCTTCCAAGGATTACGGACATGGTCACCAAGGTGACGGCCGCGATCCTTGTAATTTGAACTGCCGTGCTTTTTGGCCTCATGTATGCCTGAGGTAAATAAATAAACAAAATATTAATCAAATATTATCTCGGAAAGATCAAACGGGCGTAAAGCGCCTGGTGGGTGTAGTTGATAACCCACTCAGGTTAATTGTTTCGACCCAAGAGCAAAATTCCTTATGCCGACGAAAAGTTAAGTGTTGGGTTCCCCGTACCCGATTCAATGATTGGCAAAACCATGAAAAGGCAGTTTATCCTTGCCTGACACCATTGGGGGTGGTGGCTGCTAGGCACATTTTATTTATTTAAGATCGCCCGATATAAGCAGAAGCTTAGGAACGGCAGAGGAGGTGTCTAATCGCACTAAGCTCCAAATACACTTCATTATTTGCTCTATTTACTCGTTCTCTATAATTATTGTATCTAATCAATTTGCATAGATTAAACGTATGTAAACAGCATTAAGAATGAGAAAACGAAGAAAGTACTTTTACAAATGATAAAATTGAAATCCCATGAAATCCTGTTTCAAATAAGATAAAGAGTTTTACTTTATTATGGCCCATTATGATGAGAAATTTATGAACGTAACAGAAACCAACAACAAGTTTTTTAACCTCTCAATTATCATAAATCTTAATTTTCCTTCTCATTTTGTGCGCAACATAAAAAACTTCACCTTGGATTTTAAAACTTGATGCGTATCTTCCAGCTTACTTTCTAAGAAAATACATCTGTGCATTAGTATGGTTACACTGACACAGACATTTAAACGAAGGCAGTAAATCCGGATTTCAGTCCCTCTTTCTTCTTTAGCTACTGACTTTACTACAACCAAATTCGAAAAAAGGATTCTCCTACTCCTATTCCATAACTGTTCCGAAGCGGACCCTGTGCTCGACGCAGAGTCGGAGCACAATTGTTTCCAGTTTTTCAAATTCTTCGTCTCGTTAAATGTATTATAGTTCCACAAAATATCATTGTCTTTGTTCGTAAAATTATATTCATTTTTTTCGGTTTAATTGAGCAATAGATCACAATTTTTGCTAGAATGCAAAATAATATCATTTTAATGAGTACCGGAACTAGTATATCTCTTATTATTAGATTCTAAATACTCGAGATTTTCAGTTGCTATTCTTGTCGTTTCTATTTTATGTTAATCAAAAGTGATTGTATTGTCCATAGCAATCAGTCGTCACAGACAAAGAAAGGAATATTTCAACTTCCGTGATGATCTCACTATGCAGAAATAAACTCGTAGAATAAATTCAACTACATTCTAATTCAGGTTTTTTAATTGATTCGTGCTCGACAGACTTACCTCTCCTTTATTCCTTTATTCGATTTCTATTATCGTTTCGAAAAGTTTCTAGGTAAACCTACTGTGCTTTTGGATAAGGAATGTCGAGAATATTATTCATAACAATAGAAAAGTGCAATTTTGTAGATTGAAACTTTGTTTCGGAGATATAAAAGCAATTGGATATTCTACATTCTACGTATATACACGTTTTGAATAATGAAATATAAATTACTTATGCAAGAAAAACATTGCTTTCAAATGTAGTACAGGTAATTCTTTATTGCACATGTTTTGTCTCTTTGAATATTTATATGTCTCTTTCACGCAATAAATTCCAGATATGTGAGGAAACTGTAATCATAAATCGATTTTAATGGATTGCAATCGCTCATCATTCAATTTGATGAAATGTTTTCTTTGTAGAATCCCTGTATTAAGAATTTATGTTACAAAATGTTATCTTGTTTTTATTAATCATCAGGTTTTCATATAATTTATATACCATATGAATTATATTCGTTGTACTGTATAATGTATTATACTTACTTTGCTGAAAATATTTTTTGCATTTCAATTTTATAAGATATAAATTAAAAAAAAAATTGTATTGATATTTGTATTAATTTTTATACAGTCAAGTTATATATTCAATAGGTTCATATACTAAGTTTATATAATTCATTTAATCCTGCACATAATTCAATAAATACATTTTCAACAAATTCTGAATTCTGTTTTTGAAAATTTACTTTAAAAAATAAACCACATTCAACCTAAATAGATTATCCACACAGTCAGAAAATTTTAATTTTTAATAAAGTTTAATAAATGAACGTTATTCTCAAATCTGATTAAATCAAATCACTACCGAATTAAATTTAGTACAAGCAATTTTAAATTTATTTTTCATGTAATAAATAAAAAGAAGAACTATTCGAGTTCTTTATTAAGGAAAAATTCTAAATTAACAACTTTTAACATAGAATCTTTAAATACCATTCGTTGATCTTTCTATTTTACGATGGAGAAGAATTCATAATAAACGTTGTTCACGTTTCTACAAACGAGACAGCTGCAGGTAGCAATGAAACACGTGTAAAAATCGTTTATAGGTAACGTAGTCGATTTGAAATGTGCATGCAGAATGCAATCACATACGTGGAACTTCATGCTGGCTAACCACCGAGTCGAGGTCTGTCGTTTCACGCTCTCCTTTCGCGTGCTTTCCTACCATTCCTATTTTACGGAATGAAGCTAATCACGGGAAAAAGTGAAAAATGCAATTGGATAACATTAGCGTTTCTCTAATACCTGTTTCTTGACTCATACAAACGTAACACAATGACCATTTGTTCCCATGCTTAGTAGCGCAACTAGGGGGGTCAGAAGGGTCAATTGCCTCCCTATTAAGAAATTAAAGATCTTTCTTTTTCTTTAAACAAATATTGGAATATTTCTGCAAATTTCATGTAGGCAAAAATAAAAATGAAGAAAATTTGATTTAATAGTATAATAATGCTAATAAGGCATAAAGACTTTTTTTTAAATAAGTCAAACATACCTTGAGACCATATTTTTAAAGTAAACTACCGGAAAATACAAAAAAATTAAATTCTTTTTTTAAGATGTTAGGTATATTAGGAAGATCCGTTAACAATTCAGCAACACTATTTAGCAAAGAATCATAAAGATGACATCAATAACATCATAATTCTGTAACTGAATTATAATGATTTGTCTAAAACGATTTACATTACGAGATGAATCGTCAGTTGCTCGTTACGAGGCGGAAATGTGTCCAATAAAGTAACTCTGACGCTCAATAACTGTACCTTGACACTATTATTTCGTTTCAAACTCGTTCGGTTGCTTCAGTACCTTGAGACTCGTGAAAATTTGTAGCTCGTGAAAATGCATCCCTGATCTTGTTTCTACGCTTCAATGATCTTGATATAATCTGGTTCTGAATATCATTCAGGATTGATAATCAAACAGGTATTATCGCGATGTAATTAATTAAACTCGAAAAGATGTTTTAGTTAACTACACATGTGTTAGATTTCATTAAATTAAATGAAGCCTGAACGAAGATATACTATATTATAATTAGTTAAAGATGTAATTAGCAAAAACATTAATAAGATAGGAAATTCTATAAGTTAAAAAACTATACCGTTATGAAAAAAAAGGAAAAGAAAAATACAAAAGGACAGAAGATTCAAAGGTTACTTTTGGATGTATGATCATCATCTTCATCATCATTTCAACATCATGGGATATATGAATAATTAAAAAGGATAATGTTAATGACAAGAAGACGTACAGTGCATTAAGGGAAATAGCGACAAGGAAAAATTAGCAGCAATAAACATATGAATTCCAAAACTTTGGAATTCGAATTTTGGAACTTGAAAGCTTGCATTTCGAAATTTTTGAACTTAATGCTTTGGTTTCTGAAACTTTGAATTTTGAATGAAATCTTTAAATTGCATTCTGAAGCTTAAAAATTTGGATTGTGAAAATTAGAAATTTGAATTTATAAACCTTAAAGCTTGAAATCTCGAAATAGCATCCATACAAATGGAACAACTTCATTTACAGTAATTACACTTTCGAAAAAGTACCTTCCATCAGTGCCGTAAGAGACGAGTTAACATTTTCCTGTGGAAAGTATCCATCATTTCATGCATACCAGACGATTACATGCACGCCTTTAATTGGTAAATTAATTGAAAAGGGCAAACGCTTGTGACACAGACTGTACTTGTACATATTCGTAATGACCTCGATGTGGATGGACGACTCTAAGGTACGAGGCCTCGAGGAGATAGTAGGCCATCCGAGGCTGTCTTTATGCTGCTCGATCTGCCAGACAAAAGTAAACAGGCACTGTTGCCAGGCACTTCGGACGAAAGGATTATTATACACATATACTACGAGATAACATTTTTAAACCTGTCCTTTTTGATATAATCTGACTCATTGTACTCCGTTAGCCTGACATTGCAGGTCAAAAGTCTTGAATCAGTCATTCTTGTCAATGATTTCATACATTCATATTTCAAATCTACAATCTTTGCAATTTCATTGTATTTAAAGTATTTGTGTTGCTTTGAAATCGGTATTTAAAGTTATACATGAACCATTCACAAGCTAAAGTGATGCACTCCAACCTTTTAAATTAAAAAAATTTTAATGCCAGAGCACTTGATTGATGCTTAATTTTTTATATTATATCAATTTCTCTAAATTTTCTTTTATGGAGTTAATTAATTTAATTAAACATAGAACAGATTCCCAAATTTATTTAGTCCTATTGAGTGAGTGTACAAACGAATGTGTACAAGACTGTGCTTTTAGTTCGTGATAACGCCTATTGTAGCTAATTAAAATGAAGGAAGAGCGTTGCACGCGAGTGTCGCTCTTCTGCGATCCAAACGCTACGTGATTTGACATGGATAAAAAATTATGAATGCTAAGAAATTGCGTGACAATTATAATAATTATGTATTTGATACACCATAGTAACAACCACCTGTCAATTAGTTTTTGTAGAATCTTCGAAGCGAATTTAATAAGAGTCTAAATTACACAAAAATTAACAATGGTATTGTTAGTGTACCTATATGCATTTATAACACTTTACTACGTAATGTTGTCTGAGGACAGTAATTAAAATGGCGGAAGAGCGCTAGAAATAGCTTCTACGCTTCCGCGAAACGAGTGCTAAAGTTTATTTACA